AGTCCCAGGGGAGACAGGCAGCTGAGCAGGACATGCCTACCTACAGTGGAAGGAACAGAAGGCGGGAAAAGGTCAGCATTTTGAAGATATAATATTGTGGGGCATTGCTACCACAATGAATTTGTCAGATGGATTTATTTTCTCTCTTGTTGGATTTGCCCTCAGTGACAGTAGCACTGTCTTCACTGTAACACTTGCTCATTACAGTTTATGCAGAACAGATCCATGTCTGCTATAACCAGGACTAGACCATCTCATATTATTTGCTTTGTGTACACCTTAAAATAACTGGTTTTTTCTCATTACATAAGTAATACTGAAATGAAAATAAACATGAGTGCTATTTGATACTGAAAATTTTCAAAAACATTGTATTATCTGTGTAATATATCTTAATGTCTTAAATAGCTAGGAAAGGTGGTGTGCCTGACCCTTTGGCTTTGAAATTCCTGAAGCCGTGGGAGATGTGAGAACATCAGCTGAAAGCGGTTTTAGCTGCTTTCTGTTTGGATAGCATTTCTTCAAAAGTATTTTTGATGGTGGGATTGGTGGGTGTTGACCAGTTCTAAAATGAAATCCAATAATTTCCTGTGGCAAAATTAGATCAGTGAGCTGCCTAAACTGCAGGTGCTGGTATTAGTGAGGCAGTGTGCATGAACAGCAGGGGATAGCTGGATAGGGAATAAAAGAAGTGGATATGAATGAATTGGTGCAAAGAAATAGATAGGAATGGTATGTATCTAGAAAACTAGAATAATGTAATTATTTCTGGGTTTTCTGAACTTCTAGTTCTTCTTTCCATACCATATGTTGAAAGTAGTATTTGCACTGGTCCTGTCAATAGACCTTGTCCCTCTCAGGTTTGACTTGAATATCTGGGGATGCTTTTGCAAAAGTCCTTGTGGAAAATAGTGAGGAGATAGCTTCATGGCTACTTTTTTAACATTCTTCCACAAAAGATGTGAAGTTGCTGAAACTTGACTGTGCAGAAAAGTTAGAAAATCTCTTTGTGAAGTATTAGATGCAACAGTGTTTATTTTAATGGGTATATGAATATGAAGCTTTCATTTTGTTTTGCCCTGTTTGCAAAGACTGAGAATCTAAATATGAGATTATTTACCAAATATTCCTTGAATTTGGAAGGTAGATTAAAGGTATGCAAATGGACTAGGTGTGTGAAAGTACACACTGCAAAATTTACAAAGATGGAGTAAGTATTAAATTCAGAGAAAAGTTTCCTGCAGAGGAAAATGTCAACATAAATGAGAGACTGTTGCAACAAATGCAGCTGTTGAGTGTTTAAGGAATAGAAGTTGAACAGAATGAGACTGGAAAAAAATAGTCATTCTGTGGCATCTTGTAAAAAGTAACCAGAATTAAATTAACACACAGTATAATCAGAAAAAAACTATGAAAAGACAAAATGGAAATACATTCAATAAAGGTATTAATCAAAGACAATAGTTACGGGATGATTTTAAACTTGTCAATCAAACTTTAAACAAAAGAAGAAAGTGGAGTAAAGTTTAGATTCAAATAAAGGAATTAAATTATATATAACTCAGACAACTGTTTCTAGATTTATATAAGTAGAAGCCAGTCCATAATTTTCCCCTGTGGAATAAAGATGAGAATTTCAAAGGATTACTCCTGGCTAAATGCATTTTACATAAATGCATAATGCAAAAGTATAAGCTGCAGGGAGAAACTTTCTGGTTATATACAAAGTTAAAATTATGTGACATTTGAAGTATAGCTCAGAATATACATATATGGAACACTGAGTGTTTATTTCTTGGACTCAGATCAACAACAAATTGCTTTCATGGCAGCTGCTTTCACAAAAATCCCTTAAGGGTCAATAGGTTTGGGTTTGTGGAGGGGTCTTCCCTAGCAGAACTGAACTGTTCTTTAGCTGACAAGAGCACAAGTCAGTCAAAGCTGGAGGGGTGGGGGCAAAGGGAAAGCAAAATAGAAAAACATGTTGGGGCAACTAAATGAATTGTTTTTGAAGGCATGAATTTCTTCAGTGTGCTAAGGAAAAGGGAATGACAATCACTAAGATGTGGCTGGTTTGGGCAGCACTTGGAGCAGAAATGGTGTGAGCTTCCACACGAGTTTCTAATGTACTTTCAGTAAAGTGAAAAGGGCATGCTGAGGAGAATAAATGAAATATTCATGTTTTCCTAATGAGCATCAAGGGTCCCTCAATTTTCTGTTTGATATTACTCTGTCCAGACAACTTGAAATTAGATCACAGGTGGGAAAGCTGCAGGGAATAACATGGGATCACAGAATATTCCGAGCTGGAAGGGACCCACAAGGATCATAAAGTCCAGTTCTTTAAGTGAATGGTCCAAATGGGGATGGAATGTGTGACCTTGGCATTAATAGCACCATGCTCTCACCAACTGAGATAATGCTTCAATCTATCACAATGATGATGAGGTGATAGCAGAGACTGGCAGGAACCTGTGGGAAACAGCAGGGAGGCTATGGACTGGCAGGCTGGCTCCTAGCAGCCGACCATGTTTACTCACCAATGGCTGTTTACTTGTCACAGACATAGGAGCTAAAGAGATTTTTGAATTTGAAAATTCCAAGTCTAGGGGAAAGCCTGAGGGGATTTTAGAAATTGTTGTGGTGGTGCTGGGAGACGGCAGAATTAGAGATGCTAAAGGATGGAGAGTAAATGACAGAAATGAAGTCTGTTTCTTACTCATAAGAAGGGGTAATTTCCTCTCATTGAAAACATTACCATTCAGGAAAATAAATCTTATTTTAGGCACTTGGGGCTGAACCTTTCAAAGGTGCAGCTACACTGAACTGGAAAATTCCCTGGCAATCTTGCAAAGCCACTTTTGAGACAGCAGAGGCTCACATGAAGTACTCCAGGCTCCTGAAACAAGTTCCTGCATACCACTTTACATCTATTTGGAAGGTGGAAGGGCAGGAGCAAACACCCTCTAAAGCTAAGGAAGTAAAACTGTAGTCCCACTGCTCTAGGCTCAGGCTTGCATAAGCCTTCCATAATTACTCTGAATGTGCAAGAGAAGAGACCTTTGAAAATGTTTAACTAAAATGTAAGTGCTAAGGTTATTTATGTAGGCAAGGAAAGGGAAATGCTCTGTGATTCTGCATTAGGCAAATGCACTGAGATAGTTTCTACTCTGTTATTTGCTATAGGTGTGGGATATTTGTTAGAGACAGGGCTCTTTCCTCTTGTGCTGTTGAGCAGTCACTAACTTCCGTGGACACATGAACTATCTCTGTGGCTTCAGTTCTTTGAATAATTAACTTTTCTGGGTAGCTTCTAGTTTTGGAACGTGTAATAAGGAAATCCAAAGGTGCCTTGATCAGCCATTTTGCATTTGTTTTTGAGAGAGGGAGAATACTACCAGCCTTCAAATTTGGTTTGTGAAAACCAGTACGCAAAGTCTAGTTTTATGGTCTAACCTGGTAAAATAAGATCATTTTGAAGGCAGAGGTCAAGGTTTTACCTCCCTGTGAAGGCAAATTTAGCAGTCTTAACAACTGTTCTGGTTTGGGACAGATTTGTGAGGAAAGTCCTGAATAGGGTCCCTCTAGAAAGTAAATTCAAGGAGCCCATTCCCCCACCGGTTTGGGAGATGTAAATATCCTTCAAGAAAAATGGAAAAAAAACTGTTTATTTAACAAGCAAATTCCTCACAAACAGGAAAAAATAAGGTTCAACAAAAAAATCTCTCACTGTTGTCTTCACAACATGAAGACATGAAGATGAGAGATGGCAAATTCAGAGAGAGCTTCTTGTGGACTGGCTCAGTCTCTCATCAGTCCCTCTTGCACTGGAAAACATCACGTCCCTAGCCCCAGTGGGCCACAGGCGTGAGCTCCCAGTGCTTTTCTGGGTTTGCAGTCCAGGACTGGGCTGAATAGTCGCAAGAACTAGTCTGGGGAACTCCTCTGCCTTAGCCAGCTAAAAAAAACTAACTAAAAAGCAAAGGAGAGCTCTCTCCCACCGTCTGTGCTGCAAACACGCACTGAGAGAGTGAGAGCTGAAGCTCTTACCCCTGTTTTTGAATACAGTTGTGAAAAAAATTCCACTGCTTTTCCTTCTTCTCATCTTCAATCTCAAATCTAATTTTAAAGGTGCAGGGCAAAATATTCAGTGTAAACAGAACAATCAGGGATAAAAGCATTGTAAAGTCACCCTAAGACACCAATGCAATTACATTTTGCATTGCAAGTGAACTTCATAAGAAGAATTTGTTGGATGATACAGGAAGCAAAGGATAAACCCAAAAGCTACTTTCAAGGAATTTTAGATATTAGTTATGGTCTTGGACTTGGAAAAAAAGAGTAGACTGAAACTTGAAAAACACTTTGATAGGTACTATAAGAGTAGACACAACAAGATTTTAGCAAACTTTCCTAATTACCTGCTATTTATATCAAGGTAAAAGCACTTTCACAGTTAAAAACATGTACTGAAACAAGAATCCTACAGAATCAACTGCTGCTCTGCAATAAAAATGACTGGAACAAAATCCTTAAATATTATCCTGTCGTAAAGTCACACTTTATTTTTTTGAAGCACTGCTAGTTGTACATGCTGTCTTACAGAGTCAAGTGTTTCACTCAAATTCATTGCCATGCATTTGGGTGGAAAACTATTTTTAAATAATGAAACACCAGAGATAAATCACTATCATTAGTGCAGAAGGCAAGGTCTAGAGTGGGACCATGCACTTCATCCACCCTTGGTACAAAGTTAATAATCTCCCTTAAAGTTTTCTATATTTCACTTCATTAATCTAGACAAGGTGGCAGAATGAATAATTTGAATTCAAATCCCTGAAACTGAAGGAAAAGGATCAGTGCACTAGCTGGCTCTTGTTCACCTTTGCAGAAATATATTATTTTAAAAACACACTTTGGTTTGAATTTCAGTGCTCGTAAAAGGTTGAGATATACAGATTGAGACACTGACCTTTCCTTTTCCTCTTTGGACTAAATAGATCACAAGCAAGGCCATGCAATCATCCAGAGACAAGAAAAAAGGAGGTGAAGCATACAAGTGTTTTGGTGCTGTAAGGATAAAAGTCACTCTTGCAATTCTCCAAGGAGAGAAGAGGTCATGTGTGGAACTGTGGTGAAAGCACCCTGGGAATTTTCTAAAAGGCCCTGAATTACTCTTTTTGACAAAGCAATTAAAATATAAAAAACAGAGGAAGTCACCCACTACATACAAAAATTTATAGAGAATGGAAGGTACTTTTATCCTGTCAGTATGATTGAGAACTGAGCAAAGTCCTCACAAAAAGGACTTGCAGCAGAAAGGACGGCAGAGTTCAGATCAGCATTTAATGAGGCGAGACAACACAGAGCAGCACAAGTCCAGTGTTTGGACATCAAGTTGTGATTGCAGTGCTGGCAGCATGACCACAACCCAGGACCATCCAAATTTGCTACTCTAACCCATGTTACCAATACTGCCTTTCTCTGTTCCACGTGATCTTGTGCCAAGGTGCAAGGAAGGTCCATGGACACTTAACTTCATATTGAGGTACTTTGTACTTCATTAGCCTGGAGATCTGCCTGCACTCTTCTGTCTAGTGAAAGAAAGGTAAACTGTTACAAAATATCATAGTGAGAAATTATAAACCCAGGTGTATTATACAGATTATTGTGACCTCTGTCCATACTGGAGTTAACATTTGACCATGTCAGCTTGCATCAAATTCCACCTGAAAATGTTTCCTGAATCAAGCAGAAGAAGAATGCAGGTTCTAGACTCAGATTTAGGTTGTGAGGGGTGAGCAATTGCAAATGGCTTGAAGAGAGGCTGTATGCATGCTGTATGTTGTACAGAGCTCTGTCTCTGGAGAGCCTCTGGAGCAGGTCAGGATCTCTGTGGGAAAAGGACAGCTGAATGATGACTGTTTAGGCATCAGACCACACACGTTTGCCCAAATCCAATTTCAGAACAGCTGAATGGCTGATGTAGATGATCTAATAGCTTTTTAATAGACCTAGGTTTGTGTGTTGATTTACGACCTTCTCGGTCATAATTGGATATGACCAGCCAAGCCCTTCCAGGGCTTTTTCACATGGTGTCTTTAAGACCTGAGAACATATGGGGTTACAACTATGTTCACAAAAATTATATATGCATATTGACTGGTGATTTTATCACCCAAGGGCTACGTGTAAAAAATGTATTCTCTCTGGCCTCGTAAATAGCAGTGTGCAGTATTGACCAGTAGAGAGGGGTTGTCTCATTTTTGGCCAGCACCAAAACATTCAGTGTTTCAAATACTGTTAAATTTTTATTTTAAATATTTGTTATTAAATAAATTTAATAAACAGCAGACTGCTGTCTGGGAGCAGCATGGCAGACTGTCCTGCAAAGGGAAGGGAGTGGGAAGCCAAGCACAATTCAGCAAGCCTGGGAATGGCTTCCAGGCTCAGCTAAGTGACCATGCTGCAATGACAAGTCAGGCCCATGGCTAGGCTGGGGGGCTGGTCCATAGGTCAAGGACTAGGATTAGATGGAAACCACACTGTGGCTCAGGGAGGATCTGAGTGTGAGAAAACCTTCATTTACAACTGGCTCCCAAGAAAGTTGCAGAGGGGCATCCTGTTCTGGGGCTGTCTCCTGCTTTTCTCATTACAGCTTCCTGAAGTCCACCGGCAGTGTGGTTTGGATGCTGGCCCCAAACCCACACAGCTGAATCCCTGGGTGTAGAGGATGGCTGGTGTCCTGCTCACCTCCTCACTGCAGTAAAAGTAGATGAGAGGCTCCTGCCCACACACTCCATTTCTAGTCACATGAGACAGGCTCTTTGAAAACTTGAAAAGTATAATTTGTCGAGGTTTGTTTTCTTTTCTTCTCCTGAGCCTAGTTTTCTGCCTGAAGAAAATGCAGTGTTAGCAGGTCTGAGTGCACATGCAGGACAAATGATGTGGCTGGAGACTTAGGTACTATTGGTTGTAAGTTCTACCAGGAGTGACTTCAGAACTCCAAAATGCCCATGTATCCACACAGCCTGTGGATACCTGTTGCTATACAGACACCATCAGCTCTGCCAAACACCAAACCATAGGATAGGTCAGGTTGAAAGGGACCCACGTTGAGGCATCTGCTTCAACCTCCCTGCTCACGGAGGTCATAAAACAGGAGCCCATCCAGATGCTTCTTGAATATCTCCAGTGAAAGAGACTCCACCACCCCTCTGGGAAATCTGTTCCAGTGCATGGTCACGTGGACAGTCATGAAATTGTCCCTCTTTGGTGCACAGGGTGGGTTCAAACAGAGAGAGAGACTCAGTGAGACAGCCCTGCAGGATCACCTTTTGGGTCCTGTTGGGCTCTGGGCAATAAGATGCATTTCTGTATTGGTTTTTGGATTTTTCATGGCAAAATCTTCTATAAATTGAAGAATTTATAGAATTGTGACCACAACACAATAACACTAGGTGAAGTAACTCAGTGTCAATGAACCTGATACAGTATCTGAAATCAACATTTTTATTCAAGCATTTGGCTAGCTTATGATGGGACAGGCACAACTGGAATAGATTTAGATGCATATGCTGAGGTTTCCCATAATTACATAAATAAGATTTTGTGATACTCTTTTATCCCATTTGGTTTGTGGTAAGTTATGTAAGTCCAGAGATGAGTGAGTACTGCCACTGGTCAACAGAACTGGATCTACCTTTGTACCACTAGACTTTTTAGAATTGTGGGCATTTGTGGTCCTCTTGACAGTCAGCAAGAGAGGGCAAGTTCAGTTGTGAGACCATCCTGACAAGGGTTTTCCTGACAAATGATTCCCTCATGAGAGTTTTGACATGTAATTCAAACCATACTTATGGCATGTATACTGCCCCCTGATGTGCTGTATCCTCGTGAGCAGGTTTGGAAAAAGAGACAGCTGCTGGAGGAAGAGCAGGTGGCATTCCCATAGCACAGATAAAAATGAAGAGAAGCGAAATCTGTATGAACAATAAGATATAATGGCTTACATGCTTTCATTAAAGAAGAAGGACAGGAAAATCCTGCTTAAATCAGTCACATGCAAGTACTCATCTCAAAATGGGGGTTGAAAAAAAGGCTTTTTAAGCTACATTTCTGGTGGAAAGTCTTCAGTATGTGAACAAGAAAGTGTGTTTCTATGAGGTTTGCAAAGAGCCCTGGTTACTGAAAATAGAGCATGACAATCCCTTGTTAGATAGAGGGTTTGTGAGGATCTCAACATGATCCTGAGTACTGTTGTTTATCATATCTGAGTGTTGCTATTCTGTACACTGGGGGAGTTAGACTGGGCACCTGAGTGTGACAGAGGTATATGCTTAGGATGTTCGGGACTGCATCAGTCAGGACCAGCCTGTGTTTTATTCAGCATTTTAAAACAGGCAAAAAAGACCTGAAGGATACCTCTGTCAGATGCTCTGAGCGACTCTGAATACCCTAAGAACATGCCAAGAAGTATATAAATGTCTGCCTTTTCTGCCAATTTCTTCCTTGATAATGAATTTATTACAGTAATCCTTTTTTTGGGATTCACCCCAAAACCAAAAAGCTCAAACAGCTGATCTATCCCAGAAAACCAGAGGAATAAAATGAGGAGAAAGGGATTTACTTATATATTTCAAATAGTATCCAATGTGTGTTATATAAGTTTTATATGCCAGGAAGGCCTTGCACATCTTATACGTGCCTTAAAATCCCTAGCATGGCTACAATTCAATAGGGACACACTTGTGTTAATCCAAAGCATGTCATGGTGCCTTAATTAGAAAAAAAAATAAAATCTGATGACTGGGAGTAGTAGTAAGCATACTTCAGAAACCAAACTCATCCCCTCTCCAATATATGCCTTTGTTGTGTTTCTAGATATGCACTCTGCCTTAGTCACTTGTTATGCTGAGTCCAGCCTGAGGACTTTGCTCTGGATCTCACCAAGCTGTTCTTGTGTTCATACACTTGGACACAAACAGATGGCTTCAAGAGTTGTGTCATAAGTGATGGCAAGGCTGCATTTCCCCAGACTGTGCCCTTTGGGTATTCCTTAACATCTCAGTAGGAGCTTCTGCCATTTTTGTGTTTTTGTCTAAGGTACGGTTTGTCATTTATTTACCTATTTACTGGTAAACTTGTGAACATAAAAATAAGGCACCTTTTTTGTTCATTAAAAAAATAAATAAAAATATAAGCTTGGGCACAAATATAGTACACTTAACCCTTTTGATATTATGTTAATGTTTCATTGCTTTTATATTTCCTGCTGTTTCATAAGAAAGTAAACATAAAAATATTAATAATAATCCTCCATAGTGGTTCATTGGGTTTTTTATAATACCAGATGTTGAGAGCTTAATCTTTACTTTTTGAGTGATATTTTTTTTTCCTATGAGGACAATTTTAGAAAAGGTGAGGAATCGAGCAATGAGCACAGACGGGAGCCAGATACTGAGGGCAACTTAGTGCAGGGACTTGCCAAGTTTCCTACTTCCCCACTGGGAAGAACTGCACTTTCCAAGTCTCAGATATCCAGAGGGGAATTTTCTGGCTCTTTGGAGCAAGTATAAAGATGATACAGTGTCTTTTTATCCCAATTTCTCCTTCATCAAAACTGCAAATGAAACCAGCCTGTGACTTTCTATGAAGCTGTTAAGATTGCATTAAAAACTCAGATAAAGAATTTAGAACAAACCTATGCAAAAGAAATGCCGGTGACTGCAAAGCAGCAAACCAAACAAGAAAACAAAACTTGTCTAGTTGTATCCTACAGCTCTGAACATATTTTGCCTAAAATTAAAGGTTTTAAGTACCCTAAACCTGCAAATTATAGTGTATAATGTTGCTTGGTTTGCTCGTGTCTCTAGACATGCACCTGAATCATTCAGAAATTAGTGCTTCTCCAAAACCTCTTTTTTTGTTGTTTTTGTTTTTCTTTTTTTTTTCCCAGACATTTACTATCTTCTGTCAGGTATAGAGATTTCTTAAGTTGATAACATGGTGGAAGTTATTCTGTTCTTTTGAATTTCACTGAATTTCATTAATAACAAATGACAAGCACTGTTCACATTAGTTCTATTCAAGAGAAAAAAAAAAATTAAAGAAGAGCTGGTGAAAAATTGTGCTTCTTATCAAATGTTTGAGAATCCCTGAAGATTGATTTATGAAGAGCTGTAGTGAAATGTGTCAGATAAGTGAAGGATAATGGAAAATGATCCATTCCTTTGAGCATATTGTGGCAAGGACCTTGGGGAGCACTTTAGAGCAAAACATAACCAATAGACTAATCCATGTATTTTCTCTGTGGAATTTTTTATGGACATTGCTATCAATATCCATTGATATTTGTGTGTTTATTTTATACATGTACAGAATAGCAGGTCACATTTGTAACAATGAATCTGAATTCTATATTTATACACATCTATATATATATATGTATATATGTAGCAGGAAGAGAATCTGAGTTCCTTCTCTGCTTTGCATATTGAGCTGAGCTGGTAAAAGCAATGTCTCTGAGAAAATCTGTTAGGAGACAGGCAGACCTGCTAGTTTTACCTTTCTTATGTGGAGCTTCAGTTCTATGAACTCTCAGCACAGGAGGAGCACCTCAAGTATTAGTTGTTTCCTCCTTATCCCTATTTAACTATTGGAGCA